TGTTATATTTGTTGAGTACGACATGTATTTACGCTTGCTTTATTTTTTTAAAATATTTAGGTAAAAGTCCCGGATGGATACCAGATTGCTGAAGTTTGGAGGAATTATGTTTGTGATCAACCTGTCAGTTGTTCCTATAGAATTGGAGTCTTCGCTCGAAGATCGGAGTTGTATTTCCGCTGTTTGCTGTCTAAGGTTATATTCTTTATACAAAAAGTTATATATTGAGCATTGTCTATTGATATTACCCTTATTTGTAGTTATATGTGAGATTTTATTTTCTGAACTCATATAAAGTGCATATCTGATTTTATTCTTAAAATCGCGTGTTACGCCTAAAAAGAGGAGCACAACTGCCACACCGCAACAAACTGCCGCTAACGGGAGACGCTGCCATAGAGACCAAGCCACGTGTAGGCATGACTTGGCACCACTGCGCCAGCCCACGAGAATCACCACCAACCCATTGTACACCAGCCAATGTGGCCTCCACAACCACTTGCTGTAAACGAAACAAAGTAATGTCGCTGCACCTAGGCAACTGACGAGCTTTCTAGCAGTGGCCACATGGATCCTTCACCTGAGCTATCGTCCAAAAAGAACTGCCTTCTACTGTCCTAGTGCTAGGATAGCGAGATGGTCGTAGGCATGGTGGGCACTGCGGATCGCCACTGCGGATCGCCAAACTAGTAGTCATCGGCCCACTGCGGATCGCCATCTGAAAGAGCACCGCGACACTGCCATCCAACTTGTCAAGGAGGTCACCACCAAAACCAACTGCAAACACCAAAGTTTATAGAAAACATATCATCGCTACAACCATTGAAACTACTAAGGGTAATCAAATGAGGACGAATTTTCCAACACGTAACAAAATTAAATGGACTGCATTGCTCGAGAATAAGGATGACACTTTCATTATCTAATCTCTTTAAGCAAAGAAATTCATAGTGGTCAAATCAATGTTAGGTTGTATATATAGGCTATGCAGCGACGCATCTGATTATTGTAATGTACCACTAAGGATAGACCAAAAGAATGTATTTGAGAGTTTTCATGAATTGATTTGATCCAATCTAGCAAAACCATCAAAAGCAGTGTGTATCTTTCTACCCATTGATCAGTGATGGCAATCAAAAAATTATTAATTTGATTTAGCAGCACTTTTTAAAAATAAAAAACTCGGCAAATAATTCCTCCCTCTCCCATCTCATCCTAAGATAGTGAGGGGGCTCGAAACTAAAACCAATGTCCCCTCACACTTCTCTCGAAGTAAAATGACATATAATTCTACAGCAAAATATGGAAACTTAATCTTTTATGTAATTGTGAGATTTCTTTACTGCAGTCCAGTCATAATGAATCATGATGCATCTATTTAAGGTAATTTTTTAATGTTGTCGTGATTTCTCAAAAGCACTTCAAATTTTTTAATGTACTCGTCAGTTTGTACTTTACTTGTGAGAAAAATACTAATTACTCCTAAATGATTGTGTAATTATAGTTAATTCTACCCTAATATCAGACCACGAGTGGTTTCTTCGTCATGATTCGTCTGCTTTGCCTTTCGTTTTGGTGCAAGTTTCTCTGTTGCTATTGGCTTGGTCCTTCAATCCCGGCCTCTGGGCTACGACTATGGTTCGTCTGGTTTTTTTTCTTCTGCTCCTCCGTCAGCAAGTATAGTCCATATGGGAAATTGTTTTTTTTTTTTTGCTTCTTTCCCTTGGGATTTCTTCTGCTTTTTTCATCTTTGATTCAACCGCTGACCCTTCCCTAACAAATAACATCCACCAATAAATTGTTGATGTAGTTACGGTTAGAAACAAAACTTTATGTTTTATTAATACTTGTATCAATCGATGGTCCAACTAATCAAACAATTGAATAGTATCAAATTTAAAGTTGTGATATATTTACGAGTAAATATTTCTATACTTTACAATAAGAGAACAAAATCTATTGATGCCATATTTTAATTCGATAGGACATTGTCATACTATTGTCAATATTAACTTAGATTATGTATGTCATGATCATCATAAATAGATTATATATAGATTTTAAATTTATAGAAATGATAAAACATAAGTAGTGTCATTCCCATTGTTATTCGTCATCAATGTTGGATAACTTTTTTTTCCTTTCGTTGCAACATACAAGTATATTTGCTAGTAATGTCTTAAGTAACATAAACATAGCTTTGAATGATGAAATAATTTGTTGTAGGTTAAACAAATATGTTACTTTTGTAGGGAATTGCTGGCGCCCAGACGTCCGATGGGATATGATTTCGTCGGATAACCTAGGCACGCTCCCACCAAATGGACTAGCAGAACGGCCCATCAGAAAACACCATCGAGCAACCCCGGCTTCGGTCGCCAGCCCGCCTGAATCCACGTGTGTCGTTGCGTCGTTCGCTGCTAGACGGACACGTCCGTCCCCGTTCGCCTCATCCCGCCCCGCACGCGTACCCCACCCCCCGTTCGCCTCGCCCCGATCCACGCCCACCGCTCCTTCCCCTGACCCCCTCGTCTCTCTCCGTGAGGGCGGGACCCGAGAGCCGGGATGAGGACAAGCACGCCCCCGTCCGCAGGACCCTAGGCGCGCCGCGCGCCCCATCCCCCCGGCTCGCCGTGACCCTTCCCCCGGCACTTGGGCCGTGCCCCATGATTCTTTGAACATACCTCTAAAACACGAAACACTTGCAAACATGAATCACTTGAATGCAACATACGTCTGAAGTAGATGAAATATTTGGAACATACACTTGCAACATGTGTGTGAAACATATGCAACAACTAGATAAAACACTTGCAACATGAAAACATTTATTGCAACATAAGATTGAAACAACTAAAACATTTCGAACATACTCTTGTAACATATGTGTGAAACATATGCAACATCCAGATAAAAAAGCTTGCAACATACGTCTGAAACACATGAAACATTTTGAACAAACGTTTGCAACATGCCTCTAAAACACTTGCAACATCCCGATATACTTTTGCAACATTCATATGAAACACTTGCAACATACCTCTGATAAGATCTGGAACACTTAAAACATACATTTGCAACATAGGCGGGGAGAGGCCAGGGTCGGTTGATTCCTGCCTTGGAGTGGGAGCCGACGCCGAGCGGCAACGCGCGAGCACCACCAGCACGGGCCGCGCTCGTGGGTGCCCTTGGCTCGGTGGGGACTGACCTGAGGCACGCGACGGCACCACTAGCACCAGCAGAGGTGGGCGGCGCGGCCGACGGCGCGGGTAGGTGCACGACAACAGAGAGGCACGGGTGGGGCGCGCGATGAGCTAGAGTGAGGAGCGAGTAGCGTAGGATGAGGGCATGCGGGGGGAGATGGCCGCTGCAGCGAATGCAAAGTGGGACGGGCTGACAACCGCACGGCGCTGTGAAGCGTGCGATGGGCGAGCAAGTAGGAGGATATTTTTGAGAGAGATAGGAGAGACGTACAGAGGAGTCAGGCTTGCTAGCGCACGCAGGCCGGGGAAGCGGTGTCCGATCGGACGGACGCCTGACCCTCAGCATTACTGGTTTTTTTACCCAAATTCATTAGCAACTTGGAAGTGGAACCCCAAGATTAGAGAAGAAGGTTACGTGCATTACGAGTATTGATGACTAGAGTAAGGATCGCTGACTTTATGGCGACCTAAAGGAGGCATGAGTGAGCTCCATAGCATCCTTTTCCAAATCCGCACGGATGCACCATGAAAAGAAGCGAATCTCATATCCCACACGCATTTGATGGGGGCAATTCATTATTGCGTGACAAGAATCTCTCTGCTATAAGAAAATGCAAATCATAATATAATAATAAAATGATCCTCGTTCCTAATGGAAGGTGCAGACGCTATCACTCGGCAAGAAAAGGCAACCACTGACGCGATGCTGACATATCCAGCATTATATTAGTAATACCCAGTGAAGTTTAAGGTGTAGAAAATTAAGTTCCTTCCACATCTCAAATAAAAAAAAAGTTCCTTCCATATCTTGGCACCTGAGGTGGATTCCATCAAGACCAATCGTTCAATGGCCACGGAATATAGAAGTCGATGATGGGCTACTACTATATGCACCGTTCTTTCCTCCTGTGGGCGGAGCACGGCGGAGACGCTCAGCCGCGCACCGTCGCCGACGCCGAGTCCATTTCTTGTGCCGTGCAAAGCCACCAAAGTGTCATACAAGGAAAGCATAAAAAAACGCGGGGGGGTTGAAAAGGGAAGGCGACGCATGCACGCAGCGACGAGTCGTTTGGGGTTAGGACGGCACCGCACCGGCGTTCGGGTCAGAGGTTGTTATTTGGCCCAGTCAGCCTCCACCACATTAACCTAACCCCCGCGCGACACCTGGTCGCACGCGAAGCAGACGCCCCACCCGCCCGCCCGCCCAAATCTCCCCCGCCCCGCCCGGTCCTTCGCGTACACGCGCCCGCCGCCCCGGAGTCCGGAGGACACCGGCAAGGGCCTCTCCGGCCTCCTGATCGCGGTCAGTCTGATCTGCGATCCGACGGACGGCGGCGGGTCGGGCGGGTTCGGCGTGCGCACACGCCATCCGTCTGTCTGTAGCGGTTCGGCCCGGCGCGGCGGCGCGTCACGTCAATGTGTAGGTGCGACCCCTGTAGCGCGACGCGGTCTCTCTTTTGAAGCCCGGCCCTGCCGCCTGCCCCGCCCTCGCCGTCGGAGCCCCCATCCGAGCCAGTCGCTCTCGATCCCCCGGCCCTGCTGCCCTCTATCTTTCTTCTTCCACCTCCTCCTCTCGTCTGCACTGCCCGCTCGATACGGCTGGTGACGCGTTGTTTTCTTCGTCCTCTTCTTCCGCGGTGCGGTGTAGAAAGCGAGCGCCGCGCGGTACTAGGGTCGATCGGTAGCTCGTCCCGTCCCGTTCGTTGCCCCGCCGCTACGTACCCCGCCCCGCGGGTATTTGGCTTCCGTTCATGGTGTGTTTGGCGTGAGGGGGGACGTATGGTCTCGGGTCCAGCCATGGACGCCGGAGGTGGAGGAGGCGGCGTGAGCGCCCCCGCCGCGGCGAACGGCTCGTATGGACTCGTCCGCACCGTGGTGGGGTACTCGACCTCGCCCCTCTTCTTCTGGTTCCTCACCGTCGTGCTCGTCGCCGTCATCCACATCGTCTCTGGCTCGTCCAAGCCCTCCAGCTCCAGGTAAAACTCTAAACTTTCTTCAACTCTGGGTTCTGATCGATCGTGTCGATTGGCGTGTTCGTTGGCACGACGACCGATTGATGGGCTCTTGTCTCCTTTGCAGGGACGATGAGAAGAAGAGGGAGAGGGAGGAGAGGGAGAAGGCGCGCCGCGATAGGGAGAGGGAGGTGTCGGGCAGGGGAGATGACCAGGTTCTGGCGATGATGCGCAGCTTCAGCTTCATGCAGGCGACCGAGGAGGATTACATGGAGGGTATGACCGCGTACGACTACAACGGCGTTGACGCCGGCGGCACAGCGCACGGGCCTGCTGCGCCCGAGCCGTTTGCGCCGTCGCCGGCGTTGACGACGGCGGCGAGCCTCAGCTTCAAGTTTCAGCACCAGACGCCCGAAATTCCAACGGAGCCGGTGGTGGTCGTTTCGAGAGAATTCACAGCAGCGAGAGAAGAGACGGCGGTGGTTCCGAGAGAATTCACAGCAGCAAGAGAAGAGGATGAACGAGAACGAGAGGAAGAGAAGGAACCATTGGCTCCGTTGCAATCGGCAGAGAAGCAAGAACACCAACACGAAGCAGAGGAAGCAGAGTTAGTGGTGGAGGAGCAGGAGGTAGAAGAGCAGAGCAGAGAGGTTGTGCAGGAGGCAGCGCCACCGAAGATCGTCGCCACCACGCACAACTATCAGTTCTTGACGGAGCGCGACTTCCGAGGGTTCGTCAGGGAGCCGGAGGCCATGACGGTGCGCGTCCAGGAGTCTTTCGTGCCGCCGTCGCCGCCTCCGGCGCATCACCAGCCCGAGGAGCGACGGGTGGTCGACGTCTCCTCCCGCAGCGGTCGGTTCCTCACGGAGAGGGACTTCCGGCCGGCGAAAGAGCCCGACGTGTGCGAGAGCGTGGCGTCGTCCGGGAAGAGGGCGCCGTCGCTGAAGCCGAAGCCTGCGAGCTCCCCGTCCGTTGCGTCCACGGGCGGCGGCGCCGTCGGCGCCAGGATGAGCTTCGCGTCGGAGTTCTCCGGTTTCGGCGACTCCGACTCCGAGTCCAGCGCCAGCGACGGCTACTCGGTGAAGGATCTCGTCGTCGACTCCGACAGCGACTGGTTCCTCTCGGAGAAGGACTTCCCGGCGTCTGCTCGCGACTCCGGCAACCTCAAAAGTTACAAGGCCAAGGTGCTCAAGGCCATCGAAGCCCTGGAGGCGGCGGCCAAGCTGGAGCCGTCTTACCAGGACTCAGCGACGACAGTGTCGCCGGGCTCCGTCCGGCAGGGCTCACCAGACAACATTCCCGATGGTTCTCCCAAGTTCCCTGAGGACATGTGGTCCCGCAGCCCTTCGCCGGACGTCGAGTACAAAGAGGACGAGGAGAAGGTAACAAGAGAAGCTGAAGCACAGTATGATGAGGACATCGAACAGAGAAGCACGGCGGAAGAGGAGGTGGGCATCGACATGAGCGATGATGACGAGCACTCGTCGGGCGGCAAGAAGGTAGAGTCTGCACCAGCCTATGATCTGGCTCCTGTTGCTGACGACTGTATGGACCATTCGGAGAAGGAAATCATCACTCTAAATGATCACTCAGGAGGTGAAGCTGCTTCTGATGCTCAAAGAAGTCCAGAGGCAGTCTCTGCGAGAGAATTAGCTGTCGTATCATCAGATCAAGATGCTGGCCCAGTCAAGAGAAGTCCGGAGCCATCGGAGCAGGAATTTATTGGTATGGTTGATCATTCACTTGAGCACAGTTCTGACGACCGGAAGGAAACTGCCAGCGAAAGCGATCAGTCATATGAAATAGTATTTGATGACAAGAGAAGGCCGGAGCCTCCAGAGACAGGATTTGTTGGTACGAGAGGTCACTCACATGAGCTTATTTCTGATGTTTGGAAAGAGATTGTCAGTAGAAACGATCAGCCACGCCTAGGGGCTCATGCTGATGAGCAAGGCCTGGATACAGCAGAGGAAGAATATGTGGGCACAACTGATCGTTCAAACGGTCTTGTTTCTTATCAGAAGAAAGTGACTTTCAGTACTACAAATGATCAGCCATATGCTGCAGTTTCTGATGAGAAGAGCGTCCCAGAGACTCCAGAGCAAGAATTCAGTCTAACCGACCATCGAAATGGAGTAGTTCCTGACGCCAGGAACATTTCAGAGACCAGAGAAGATGAGGATCAAGATAGTGGAAATGATCATTTGGACAATGCAGCTCGACAGGCCTACATTTCAGTCACGGGGAAGGCAAAGGTATATGACGAAGATGGCGAGGATCCGGAAGTGAAGTGGAAGGATTTGACAGATGAGGAGGAGGACGAGCTGGAGTCACTGTGGGAGCACCAAGACCTGATAGAGCAGCTGAAGATTGAGCTGAAAAAGGTCCGGTCGATCGGCCTGCCCACAATCCTCGAGGAGTCAGAGACACCAAAGGCTCCGATGGAGGACCTCAAGCCATGGAGGATCGATGCTAAGTTCCTTCGTGAAGACCCGATGGACGAGCTGAACAAGTTCTACAAGAGTTACAGGGAGAGGATGAGGAAGTTTGACATTTTGTGCTACCAGAAGATGTATGCAATAGGTATGCTTGATTCCTCAGACGTAAACTTATTTACCTTTGCTTATCTCTGATTCCAGTAATGTTTAGCACTTATTTAGTTGGGTGCAACCGGAAAGCTATTTCTGATTTACCCATTAACTCAGAGATAGGAATCAAGAACTGCATTCTAACCAAAAGAAGAAGAAAAAAAGGTGCATTAAAGAAAATGTGATCAACCTATGCAACTAGGCGGGTTTTCATCAACTAAGAAGAAAGCATACACTCAAATTCAAGCTGATGGAGAATTTTAACCTGGATGATTGTGCATATGAGTATATGACCACACATCTCACCTGGTTAGTTAAGCTAGGCTTACTTCCGAAGAAGGTGTAGTTAAAGGAAGCTGCAAGTCTAAAAATACTAGTGAAGATTCACTCTGCTACGACTTTTTGTAACAACCAATCTTCATCTGCATTTCTAAAGCTAGTTCAGTATTGATGCAGCTTCTTCTTGAGTTACCTAGCAATTATTTTCTTCAATTATACAGCATGCATCAAGAAAAGAAAGCTTCTTAAGGCATCTAGTCATCTAACCTTTTAAGACTTATTAAGTACTCCCTCCGTCACAAATTACAGATCGTTTTAGCTACTTTTAGGCACATAGTTTTCTTTTCCATATGACCTACGCATATGGCCGAAAAACTGCACATAGTTTTCTTTTCCATATAACCTACGCATATGGCCGAAAAACTGAAGCGACATATAATTTGAAACAGAGAGAATACTGTACAAATTTACCTTGCTTTAAGTAGTAAATTTCCTCCCTCAATTAAGCATGCTCCAAAAAATGGTATTCTCTTATAAGGCACTAATATAGGGCTATTTTAAAATTCTGGCTGCAGATTTCCTACAGCTCAGAGGGCCCCAGCAGGCCACCAACTCTCTAAAGTCCCTGTCGCCTACGGTCGCATCCATCCTGTCACACAATTTTCGGCCATCGCGTCGGAGATCTCCCGAGGACCCATCGGAGCGGTTCCTCAAGGAGCTCCGCTATGATTTGGAGACGGTGTACGTCGGGCAGATGTGCCTGTCATGGGAGTTCCTCCGGTGGCAGTATGAGCAGGCCCGTGACCTCCCGGAGTCTGACCCTTACCACAGCCACCAGTACAACCAGGTGGCCGGAGAGTTCCAGCAGTTTCAGGTCGTGGTGCAGAGGTTCGTCGAGGACGAATCGTTCAAAGGTCCTAGGCTGCCAAACTACATCAACAACCGATGTGTTCTTCGCAATCTCTTGCAAGTACCCGTGATTAAAGGTTAGGACCATTTCAGACTTATTCAGAGCTGAGATCAGTTAGTAGTCCATGTTTGTCCTCAATTTTCAATGAAAACAAACATTGACCCTGATGCATGCATTTTGGGTTACAGAGGATAGCTTGAAGGACAGGATGGAGGATCAGCGCAAGGGGAACTACGTGATAACCAGTGAGGAGCTGGAGGACATCATGGAAGAGGCGATGCACATCATGTGGGAGTTCATCAAGGCCGACAGAGTCGAGACGACAACAACATCGGTGCTCAAGGGCCTGTCCAGCACCCACGTCGAGCTCCAGGACCCCATGGATCATGATCTCATGGCGCACATCCATTCCACGTTACAGAAGGTAAGGTTGCAACGCAGTGCAGGGCTGCAAGCAAAATATCTGATTTGCTACAGTTGCTAGCAGTAAGTGTAGGAGTGCTAGTTGTGTGACGATGTGTGTGAATCGTGTGCAGAAAGAGAAGAGGCTCAAGGACCTCCTCAGGACCGGCAACTGCCTCGTGAAGAAGTTTAAGAAGCCCAAGGAGGACAGATCGAACCAGAACCTCTTCTTCTCGCAGGTGGACATGAAACTGGTGGCGCGGGTGCTGAGGATGCCGAGGATCACCAGCGAGCAGCTGCTGTGGTGCAAGGCGAAGCTCGACAAGATCATACTGGTAGATCATAGGAAGATCCACAGGGAGGCTTCATTTTTGTTGTTTCCCTGTTGAGAGAGTACATATATATGGTTTTCTTCTTTTCTTTTTTGTTCCCTTTTGCTCGATAAAAAAATATATTCACCATGTAATCAATCCACGGGTGTAGGAATTTTATTAACCTTTTGGTAATTCAGTTTCTTATATACGTAGGTTCATAATTATAATTGTAACTTCATAAACATGCCACAGCTTACAGAGACCATGGCGCTTCCATGATACCTACATTACCTAGAAATTACAGTCATCGCAATGTACATACTCCATTTCCTCTTCAGTAGAAGGAACCGTCTTTTACCACTGCTCCATCCCAATTGTGTTGCAAGGCTGCAAGACACTTTTTGACTGCACTGCCATTCCTGGCCCTGGATGAGCAGTTCTTATGCCCTTTCTGTTCGTCACATGAGTCATATAATGACCACCTCACATTAGCTGATCTAACAACCCAAGTACTTGCTGCAAACACTGTACAGTACTGTACCTAGGAACAGGAACACACATCTCATAACTGAAAGCTGACGAAACTGAGATGCAGCTGAGTAGGCTCAACAGTAGACATCAGTACTAGTTAAGACAGTAGTAGATCTTAGGGTGGCAACCTTAACGGACGTGTAGGGATACAGATTGGTAGCGTTGAGGATGTGTTTGATAATGACCACACATTGCCACATCGTTTTTTTTTGACAAACTTTGCTAAATGTGTGGCTAACAATTTGTAGCATCTCCGAGAGACTCTCCATATCCTTCCTAAATGCTAGTAATAGAGATTTTGTTAAAAAAAAAACTATCATCCAACAACTTCTCTAAATGGTCATTCAAATATAGCCATCTTTTATTCCGGATTTTTCGCATGCCAAAAATAGAAGACGAGAATGACTCTCTAGAGTGCGCATAAGATATAGAAAAACTGTTGAAGAGTGAAAAGATATAGAAAACGATTTTTATGCAAATGGCTCTCCAAATGATAATTTAGAGAGTGAAATTTAGAAAACCGTGGCCACGCTATCTTGTTCCACATTTTTTTGGGCGTGGCTAGTGCACAAACGTCCGGACGCTAGCTCCTGTCCGGACACCGCGGCGCTCCCCCCCTCTCACGTCCCGCGCCTACCCGCCCACGTCTTGCCTCTTGCGTTTGTCCGCAAGCACGTGGGCCTTGCCTGTGCCAGTGAGGACTGCCTCCGCCTTCCCGCGCCTGACACTGAGGCGAGACAACAGAAACACGATGAGGGAGATGCAACACTCGATATAGCTTTGAAACATCCAGATGCAACAATTGCAACATACGACTGAAAACAAATGAAACATTTGAAACATGTGTATGAAACACTTGCAAAAACACCTGAAAAACACTTGAACCATTGTAAACATACACAATATCTAGATAAAATACTTGCATCATATGTGTGAATATATATAACATCCAGACAACACACACTTGCAACATAAGTCGGAAAAAAAGATGAAACATTGAGAACAGGAGCTTGCAACATACATATACAACCATTGCAACGTGTGCAACATCCTGATCTAATTTTGCAACATCCGTATGAAACGCTTGCAACATACCTCTAAAACACTTGAAAACATACGCTTGCAACATGCGTTTTCACCCTTCTTCCGTACGACGCAACGCAGAGTGGGGGACGGCCGATTCTGGCCAGCCAGCAGCCGAGGATGGTGGCGCGGCGGCGTAGTGTGATCGATTGCGCTTCACGCTGGCTCGACGATGCCCCCCTCTCGGCGGCCGCTTGGCCTAGAAACGCGGCGAAGGGCGAGCTGCGGCGCGCCGGCTGCACACTCGGTGAGCACGTGCATGGAGCTTGGAGGCGGAGGGTGAGCCACCTGCGACCGGGTCTAGCGGTAGCTGCTCGGTGGGGCAGTTGGCAGTGTAGCTCACGCGGAGGATTCCTCCTCTCCGCAGGAGGCGGAGGTGCCGCGGGGATGGAGGTGCCATGGGGGATGGCGGAAGCGCGGTTGATTGGGACGGTCGGATGGTCGCACAGCGCCGTGAAGCTGCGACGCAGGAGCACGGAATCGAGGAGACGAGTTTCCCTGGGGATTTGGCTATTTTAGACGAGCGGCACATGGAGCAGTGAGTAGAGTAAGGCGTCCGGCCTTCCGGACGTCTTAATGGTAACATTATCGTTTTTTCTTGAGAAATCCTATTGGACACTCGACACTCTGTTGTTTTCCCAGGATCCAGCACCCGATTTTTTCTAGGCCCGTCCGCCCGTCCGCCTTCGCCCGACGCCTGGCTTCGACGCCCCGGCTCGGACGCCCCTGTCGCTGCTGCTTGCCCGCCGCCGGTTGCTGACGCCTGACACGCTCCCGGCTGCAGCAAGGCCAAGCCATCGCCTGCCCTTGCCAGGATGTCCCCCTGCAGCCTATGCTGTCACTTTGCGCTGCGCCCATGCCGCCACCGCCGACCGCCGCTCGTCGCTCGCTAGGGAAAAGAAAAGCAGCACTCAGCCGCTCACGTTCGCCTGCGGAGCCACGACGGGAGGCCGACAACACGTGCTCGGCCCTCTCCCGTCCTCAATTTTATGAAGAATTTGTAATTTTTTTTTGAAATTTGTGAACAATTTGACATATATTCCTCTGCAATCCATAGAAATAATTTATATTTTTTTTGAAAAATTTGGTAGATCTGCACTCCAAACAAATAAAAGTTGTGTTATCCCTAAATTACATTACTCTATCAAATCAATTATATTGAAGAAATCACTGTAAATATAATAATAAGACAGTGTAAATATAGCTAAAAAAACGGTGTAAATTCATGGAAAAAATCAGATGTGAAGAGCTCCCAAAACACTCAGTTGTTGGCTACGGAGCCTGGATCAGAGTCTCGCTCATGTCGTCGGCAGCAGGCCTGGATGGCAGAGGTGCGCCGTGGAAGATCAACCTGTAGAAGGTGGGCCCGTAGAGCCTTGTTACTTCGGTCCGGCCCATTATCTCATCAAACTGATCCCAGCCGTCCGATTTAGGTCAGACCTCGCGACACATCCATTTATACCCCTTGCCGCCGCCACGCCCTCCCTTCTCTTTCTCCTAGCCTCTCTGCTCCAGCCTCCCACTAGGGTTTATCCACCGGCGGCGCGCGCGACGGCGGCAAGATGGTGCAGCGTCTGACCTACCGCAAGCGGCACAGCTATGCCACAAAGTCCAACCAGACGCGGGTCGTCAAGACCCCTGGTTCGAATCTCCTCTTCCCATCATTTTCTCTTTTGTCTTCATTTGGTGGTTCCTTTGATATCTGCTTTGGGTGTGTTTTTGATGTGCTAGATCGGTTTGTGGCTTGTGGTCGCAGGTGGCAAGCTCGTGTACCAGTACACCAAGAAGAGAGCTAGCGGGCCCAAGTGCCCCGTGACCGGGAAGAAGATCCAGGGGGTGAGTTGCCACTTTTCTTCTCAGCATAACATACCTTATACTTGTGGGACGTAGCTCACGATTGTTAGTCTTGCGGCCTTGGTAGGGGGATTTGTGTTGGGACTGGTACGGTGGTGGGGAAATCGGGGTGTTGAAGTTGGTGGGTAATCTGTTCGTAAAATGTAGTGGAGTTAGTTGTTCATGTCCATCTTTATGTCATTTTAGAATGTTTAGCATTTTTTAGTGTGGAAACGGTGAAATTTGGGCTGCAACCTGCAATCCTTGTTGCACATGCATGAAGTTCATAGAATGGAATTTGTTTCCCGAACTCTGTATTTTGTTGTGTAATGGAGGCTATGGAGCCTTTCAGTTGGAATGGATTGGTGGCTCACTATATCCGGTCGAAATTTGCTGAAAGCTAGGGGGTGTTCACGGCTGCTAAAACAGTGGCTGCAAGCCTCCTCAGCGGGGCACAGCCGAACAGGCCCTAATTCTATTATTGTCAGATGTCAGATGTCCAGCAACAATTTCACATTGCTTTGATAATATGATTTATTTTCTCATTATGATCATACATTCATACTAGTTTGTTTGTACAGTGGTGATTCTTATACAGCAAACCTTCTTGGTAAGTATTTCATATGCGCACTTGGTAGTTTGTACAGTGGTAATTTGAATGTTGATTTCTGTATTTATCTTATTGGTTTTAATGTGAGATCTTACAGCTGAAACGTTTGGGGATACAATCTTGGTAGTTTTTCTTGAGTTCAGTTAATCAAATTATGCACTTCCGGTAAGGTTGGCATTGTCATTCTAGTTTCAAATGAGAAAAATATGCACCGCAGCAGAAAACAGTCAATGTTGACGTTGTTGCATCAGCATGAATTTCCTTAGGAAAATGGTGACTGATTCATATTTTGTGGGAATTCTATATTGTGAATCCCTTAATGTGTTTCATCATAGTATGTTTTGATGCTATTCTTGATTTGATTCTGGAGAATGTGTTTTCATGTTCTACAATTTGCCTTATTATTACTTGTCTGTGTGTTGGCAGTCCATCTTTATTGCTCACACCGTGATGATTTCCATTTTCAGATTCCCCATCTGAGGCCTGCTGAGTACAAAAGGTCCAGGTTGTCTAGGAACCGCAGAACGGTGAACCGTCCCTATGGTGGAGTGCTCTCGGGAACTGCAGTTAGAGAAAGGTTAGCAAATAGTTTCAGTATCTTTGGATTTGATAACCCTAAAGTTGCAAACCTCCTAACTTGTCTATGTAACCCCACAGGATCATCCGTGCTTTCCTGGTTGAAGAGCAGAAGATTGTCAAGAAGGTGTTGAAATTACAGAAGACCAAAGACAAGACTTCCTCAAAGTAACTCTGAAGCAGAAGTGAGCCACTCTTCTGTAAACAAGGGAAGATATTTTTGTCGATGGTGATGATCAATGGCTTAGTCTTTTCTAGCTGTGTTCTAGTATGTCTTGAGCCGACAACTGTTCTTGAAATCTGTCTACCATTGTGATGTCAAAGATTATGAGATGACATATGATCCCCCTGTTGCTTTTGTTCACTTTGCTAAAACTGCAAGTCTGAGTTCACATGAGTTGGGCTTCAGTTGGTGTTTATTTCCTGCCTGTTGCAAATAGCTCATGTTCCAATTTGTCTGATTGTGGGATAAGTTTGCAATACGTTTTATCGTGCATCTGCCTCAGACGGTAATTGTTGGCGCTTACTCGCGTAGTCCTTGTTGTCTTACCAGTCTCCAGAATACGTTTGCATGGTTGGGAGTTTGCGGAGTCACACATCTAGGTACAAATTCCTCCAAGCAGGAAAAAAAAACTGTTCCGGATAAAAAAAAAAGCGGATCTAAGCCGGGTTTAAGGGCACGCGAACGGGGCTAATATGAAAATAATTTTAGTGGTAAAGGTTACTTTGCAAGAATATGATTTGTACAATCCAGAAAACAAAATATCTTTGTTTGACATGACAATATCCCTTTTTTTCTTAAAAAATGTTAAAATTGTCAAGAACAACAGGAAAGGTTATGCTTTGCAAAATTACGATTCATACATACACAAAATATCTTTGTTTTAAAAATGTAAAATTTTTGTGCTTGATAATATGCTCCTTTTTTGCCTACAAAAATGAAAAAAAAATCATTGTTTTACATTACCCACTTTTTTTCGGGATTTTTGCTTAAAAATGTAAAATTTTGCTTGATAATATGCTCCTTTTTTGCCTAACTAAAAACATGAAAAATATCTTTGATTTACATGACCACTTTTTTCAGGATTTTTGCTTAAAAATGTAAAAAATTAGTACATGAAACTAGTGGTTTAGATCAACTCGGCCATCTTCTTGACTTAGATAACATAATCTATATCGGCATACTCCCTCCAGGTTGATAAATAACTTTGACTTCATATTTTTACTAAAGTATTTTTTGAAAAGTGTTATATGTATATGTTTATGAAAGTATTTTTCAAGACAAATCTATTTATATGGTTTTCACATTTTCAAACTCAATAACTTAAAAGTTATTTATGATTTATATTCTCAATATTTAACCCAAACCTTGTCCAAAATGATTTCTTTTATCAACCTGGAGGGAGTACTGAAGTTAGATGTCAAATCATATATTTCCATTATTGAACATGCCGTTGTGGTACATGTGCGATAAAATATATTTCCATTATTGTACATGCCGTTGTGGTTCACGTGCGATAAAATATAAAACAACCACAAAAGTCTTACCAGTTCATGTTCAACATTCAAAACACTCGAGTGGTAAAATTCAACCTCGAAAGCCTTACTAGTTATAGTTAATGATTCAATCATCGGACGATCCCACAGTCCTGTATCCTTTGCCGTTTTGGAAGGAAGTGCCTCCGAGATGGAGCACGTTTTATTTGTCATTTTGTAAGGAAGTTGCACCTCTTTTTTAGCGAGATAAAAGTTGCGCCTCTGCCATGAAGGACCCTTAGAGCATCTCAACAATGCTATCAAAATCAGACTACCTAGTTGTATATTTGGGTAGCCATCTATTTTGATATTACACATATTTTGCTCTCGTCTCCCGCAATACTACCTAAACTAGGCCACCAAACTCATTCTAGTAGAGAATGACATGTGGATCCCAGATGTCATCATCTCTCGTGTTCTTCTCACCATGGATGGAGCAGAGATGGAGTACCGCGCTGCGCCAGGGGCAGCACCACCGCGCCGCGCCGGGGGCCTCCGCCCACGGGAGCTGCCGGGGAGCTCGCGCGTGGGGGTGGGGGATTTGGGTAGCCTAGTATGTAGTCTGTTGGAGCGGATTTTTTACCACGCTGGTAGTGTTTAGTTCTAGGGACAAATAATACAAGGTGGAATATGTTACTTTCTCATGGTGTTTGTTTTCAAGGCAATTAGTTAATTCGTGATAGAGTTGCCCCTAGAAATTGGATGAATGAGCATTGCTTTATCCTTTAGGTGAGCTTAGATTTGCACAGAGAACACGGCCATTGCTTTAGGTGAGTGTAGATTTGCATGGGGAACACGATCACATGGAAGAAGAGAAGCATTGGGAGCTACAGGTAGGGATGGCCATGAGTTTGTACCCGATAGGTATCACTAATCCATATCCATACCTATCAGATTTTTTTTTGTACACGCGAAGAAACCCATAACATGTGCAGGTGCAGTTTTGTAATGTTATCCATATCCATGCTAGTAGCAGGGTATCTACGTATTGTCCATACTTGAGAAGAAATATAACACATGCATATAAACAACTAATAAAGTATAGATATGTAACAAATGTAACAAAAAATGATATACTAGGTGTGCTAGTTGGATCACGTTTTGGAGTACATGATGATGATTTTGAATTATTTGCATTACATATATACCCATGGGTTTATGGGTTTAGGCAGTGCATAAACCATACTCGTACCCACAAATGCAATAGGTAAGTTTTTTTTTACATATTAACATATCTATGAATAAGTAAATTAGCTTACACACATGCCTTAATAATAGAGTTAAATGCGCCAGGGGTTCATGAACTTGTCATGGTATACCACTTATGTCCATGAACTCTCAAAATACATTTATAGGTCATATAACTTGTCAAATGGTGCATCGTAGATCTATATTGCTTCGTTAGCGTTTTCTTGCTTACGTGGCATGTCATCGTGGCATAGTTTTTTTTGCATCTAACCCCTTGCAGCTGGGAACAAAGCGTGCGTTGTCACCATGGCCGCGCCACCGCAGCAACTGGCGGCTAGCGCCGCCCATAGGCTTGTCGAAGCGCCTCCTGGCCACGCTCGCCACGGCCGCGGCCCTGAAGTTCGCCCCCACGGCGGCCACCGCCACTGCCGCCCGACGCGTGCGCCTGCGCCGACTTCTGGGTCAAGGTGCGCGTGGTAGTTCTCGCAGCGACGCTTGGTGCCGTGGCCGCCGCCGACGTTGTGCTCACCGCGCCAACGAGCGGTGCGGCCACGCCCTGCTGCCCCCCACCTGATCGTGATCGTGGTCGCCGCCGCTGTCACTGCTGCTTGCTGTTTACAGTCGCAAGTAGGAGAGTACTTACTATACACATACGTAGCTGGTGTTGCAGTCTAAATATCTAATAGCTGTCGTTACCATGTTTTGCATTGGTATGTTGTTGTTACAGCACAATCTTAGAATGGCTCTGCATTGTTTCATGTTTTGCAATTTGTATTCCATTCCTCTGACGAAACTGAAGCAACGTCCCCAAAGTAATAATCCTAGTAACACAGGATGCACACATGCAGTACATGGTTTGGTACTAAGATTAAACATTTCCCTTGAGCAAACAATGCCCACACAGCAAAGCAACAGCCAAGATGACTGTCGAAGGCATGTAGGAGTATGTATGTAACACTATATCTACACGAGAACAATGAACAAGCCGAGGAATTTGGTGGCCGGGGTAGTCCCTTTGGACCGGTGCTTGGCCGCCATGTCCTCGTACTTGAGGATCGCCTCAGGCCGCCGCGCCTCTATCGACGCGCGCTTCTCTTCCGCATGGCTGCCACCTGGTTCCTCATCTTCTCCGCGTACTCCGCCTTCTTCTTCTCTAGCTTCGCCTACGACCATCGCCAGCCCATGGTCAGCTCCGCTCAGCAATTGATACATGGTCATCATCAACAACAGAAGCAGCGCCCCCAGTGTGCGGCCGCCGCACTTGCACCCTTCATCGAGAGGCATGGTGCCCCATCTGCACACCGTCCGCCATACTCGCTCTGCACCACCCCTGCCCTCGCAGAATGCACGCCTCGTGCTCGCCCTCGCCGTCCTAGCTTGCTGGCCACGCGCAGGCCCTACCCTCCCAAAGCAGGAGGACGACGATGCGGCCAATGTCCTCAGTCTCGTTGGCCTCTTCCTCCCCGTCTCTCTTGCCGGCCGCCACATCTGTTGTGCACGTCGCGTGTGGAAGGAGGAGCGGCAGCTGCGGTGGTTCCCTCCAGTGGAGGCGCGGTAGGAAGTAGCGACGGCGGCTGCAAGCGTGGTATGAGCGTGAGCGGCGGCGGCAGCAGGACCGATAGGAGTGCATGAGCGGTGTGTGCGATGGTGGAGTGTGTTATCCTCGCGGTCGTGCTGTGCACATGCTCGTCACGTTATGCCAGCGCGCGCTCTGTTCCTAGCTGTAAGGGGTTTGATGCAAAAAAAAACATGCCACGTTGACATGCCATGTAAGCAAGAAAACAATGACGAAGCAGTATGGACCCATGGTGCACCATTTAACAAGTTAGGCTATATCCAACAGCATAGACCCAAACCAGAGACCCATTCCATGATTTAGGTCACGCATAGTAAAAGAGTCACGCACCCATAACATGTCTTCTCCAATAGCCTATGCAAAAGTCCTTGCCAAGCACCGCCCGCTCCTAGGAACGCAAAACGCCGCCCAGCCAAGCACTGCCCGCTCCTCGCCGCACCGGTGGCTCCCCACCGCGGTCGCGCCGGCTGCGCTCCGCCACGATCACGTCGGCCGCACTTCACCGTGGACCCACCTCGCCGCGCCAGTGGCTCCCCGCCGCGGTCCCACCTGGAAGTGTCAGAAGTAGAACCATTGCTTCCTCTCACTTAGCCACTGCTAAGAGAAGAGGCAGATCCATAGCCAGGGCGGTAGGAGAATCCGCCGAGCTTGAGAATGAAGATGTGTGGTCCAACAAAGTAGATTAGTTACATTGGGAAGAGTGAGGAGTTCCCTGACATCACTGAGGCCTGGAATGTGACCGCAACCGGGGTTCGCTTCGTCGACACCTACCAAGTTGTGGCCCGCAAAGCCTTGCGGTACCTTTGCTAGATCTATGAAGAGCCCATTGCTCGTACCCCCATGAGGGTCTTTCCACCTTTGGAAAAGAATCA